ATAGTGGACAGCAACAACGGCAGCCCCTGCCGCGTCCGACTCGGCGACCTGCGATCGGTCGCTTCGGAGCTCCCGTCTACATAGTACACAGCTACAGAAAAACCAAACACCAACGACATAACAACAGCGAGTATGAAACACGTAATGTCTCGTGCTCGTGGTCCAAAACCGTCACGGTAGAACGGCTACTCCTCATACTTATCACAGTGGCGGAGTGATCGCACCCGGATAATAAAGTCCTATTCCGCATGCGACTGCTGTCGCGGTGGACTGTCAGAGTAGCAAGCGAGAGGAGCAAACGACAGAGCAATGCGCTTGTGACAACATGATAAGCACAATCGCTTCACTATTGATTCTGAATATATAACAATGTACCCTAGTGGGCCTTATTACTCAGAGATGCAGATGCTGCAGAAGTTGGGAGAGCGCAAAAGGATACATGTTCTGAGATAAATAACGGCAAGAAGGATATGATACCACGCAAATTGAAAGAGCGGGAAGCGGCCGGCAGAAGCCGTATCCAACCAGGATATAGGCTGAAAAAGGAAACCACGCTTATTTATAATAGAAGATGCCATTTCAAATTGAAGGAGTTAAGATGAGGCGCTGGATACGATGTCAGCGCTGTCCTGATTCAAACACTGGTCCAGCAGGCTGCGGCGACTGCATGCTGATGTCTTCGGGATGGTTCTGTGTAAGTTCGGGATGGCTCTTTGTCTGCGAATTAGATAGAAGCGACCAGGCTGATAAATCGAATCCAGGTGTTCGTACCTAGTCCCAGTCAAGTTCACGAGATATCTATCATCTTGCAAAATGGATAGCCCGAATTCTCAGGTTGTCATTGTGGCGTCGCGAGTGATACTCAGCAGAGAGCGAGTGGGAAGCAATAGCTAGGCAGTACGCACTATCATGAGCCGGCCGCCACGCTCAGGGAGCCCGAGCTTGACTCTTCCATACATATTTAGCCTTTCGTTTTTCATCCAGCATTCAGCATTTCTCCCAATTCATGGCTCAGGGTTCTCCAACACCGTGGTCCTACTTTCTCATCAGGTACGTTCTACCGATTCCCGGCACTGCGACGAACCAGCCGTCATCACCATCTATGTTTTCCCAGATTGCTCCTTAAATTTGTACTGAAGATATTCTACGGTACCATCGTCGTTGAGAATGCTCATTTAATACCGCAACGAGGGCAGCCATGGTAGCTATGCTCATAATATCTCTAACTTCATGCCAAGTCTAATGGGCTTGAGCCTAGTATCATATGCGCCAATCATAGTAACTCCATGACGGATGCATTGTAAGTGATGGCGGAAGGGTCATGACTACAATTCCTGACACCCAACGACAGTATACTTGTGACTGCCGTTCCATCCAAGGTGGTGATGGAATTATGCCTGAATTCCAGATTGCTGATTGGTTGCAGAGGCGAAATCTTTTACAACTAACGGCCAAGTCGACTCACTTTGGGAGGAAGACATTCACCAGCTGGCTCATTGAATCAGCAGGAACTGTACCTATCCAACGTAGGATGGATTTTCCAGATGGCCGGGCTGATAATACGAATGTCATGTTAAAACTAATAGAGGTGCGTGAACAATCTCACCCAGTGCCTTCTATCAGTCACTGCAAAGGGCTGTGTTATATAACAAAAGATTCACTGATATCATGAGATTACACGAGTGATCATACTGACGTCCTGCGTGTAGGCGCTGGAGTATGGAGATGCTATATGTTTATTTCCAGAGGGGATAAGCAGGTATCACCCTGCCATAGCACCTCTGAAGACTGGAGGTCAGTTGTGGCTCTCGTCTGCAGCACGCTTCGAATATTGACATTTAATCCAGTCGCTCGACTTGTGTCGGATGTCCTCTCTAGGAATAGTCATAAGCCCGACTTCGAGGTGGCCGTATTGACGTGTTCCATTACATACATGTGAGTAGTGTTCCGACACGCTACCCAGAGCCCCAGGAGAATGAATCAATTTGTTTGCATAGGCATCGGCAGCACTTCCGTTCTGACGTTCTTGTAACATTCAATCCGCCCATGAAGTTTACTCCAAAGGTAACTCTCCTGAGCCAATCCATTTACCCGTTATCTGACACATACTAGAATAACCCAGAACTCCTCTCACCGGTAGAATACGCCAACATTCGCGCTTTAACTGCACAAATGCACCAACAAATTAGCTCTGGAACACTTGATGCGCCATCATGGAGGCTGATACGCAACGCAAAACTTGCCGCGCGAATTTACGCCCCGCTCGGCACGACAATGCGCCTCGGCGATTACGTTCGCGTCGTGCGCACATTTTTGGAGGCCTTCAAACTTGCTGAGCAGCCGGGATCGGAGAGCACGAGTGACGAGAAGTTGGCTAAACGAGAGGGCGCATCACGAGCGGACACCGAAATGCGCAGGCTGGGAGATGATCTAAAGGTGCGATGTCTTCTACTACTCCGCCCGAGAGGTGTTTACGCTGTTTGCTCCCAGGTATATCAGGACATGCTGACATGCTGGGGCATCAAGGACGACAGAGTGCGCGCGCCGCTTCCTGCACACATAATTATCTACCGGATCTTCGTCCGGTTCGGATGGGCTGCCTTCCTCTTCACCATCTCGATTCCCGGCCTCCTTCTCTGGCTTCCGGTTTTTATCGCGACCTCCGTTGCCGTCTCGCGATTCAAGCGCACCGGTCCTGTCTGGGACACCTGGAATAAGATTGCCCATTACAAGCTTATCTACGGACTCGTGTCGGGGGTATGCGTGTGGGGTATTTCCGTTCTGCTCACGCTTTCCTTCGCGCCTATCACAGCAGCGCTCGTCCCTGGCCTAATGTGGATGGCGTTACGCTGGATAGAGGATGCCATCTCCGCATTGCGCGCGTTCGTGGCGCTGCTGCGACTACTGCGCGCGGGACAATCGCGCTTCGCACAACTGCACGCCATGCGCACAGGTCTGCACAAGCGGGTAACAGAGCTCGCCGTCCACACGCTTGGTCTACCGCCTGACCCCGAGCGCTACTTTCCCGAAAGCGGAGGGGAGGAGAAGGGGAGAGTGAAAGGGCGGTGGGCGAGCAGGACGGCGTATTTCTCTGTCCGCCGACGGAGAAAACGCGACTGGAACGAGACGCTCAGACTATATGACCAGGTCGATTACCCAGAGGAAGAATGATTTTTAGGAGAGGCAGTGTGAAAGGACGCGTCTATCGTCTATGCTAACCATATTTCGTGGGTACATGATATGAGGAGGATGGGTGAAATTCCAGAGTCGGCCAAGTAAAGAGTACGAAAATAGAAACGCAGCGTGACCGTACATGCGAGTAAGAAGCCAGAACATAAGGATAAGGTGCGGATACAGCTGACGGCAACCACTAAAGGCAGCAAATTTGCCGCGTCAGAGATCTTATGTGAGAGAAAGTGGACATGTAAGAATATGACACAAATAGCATCAATGCCCTATATTCTTACTCAATATTGGCGCGACCTAATGGCTTTCAAAATTGACTGGCAGTATACCCGTGCTTACGCACGGTTGCTTCATCGTTGATTTCGAATAATAGTGT